TCCAAATAATTAAATTTACACCTGAGTCTTTCGCAGTTTGTAGATCTTCGATTAGCGGTTTGAATGTGAACCTGATTATTGGAAATTCACTGTAAATAACTCACGGGATATGTTTGTTCTTTAAAAGATCAACTAAAAACCTTACAAAAACAGGTTAGAAAAATCAGTAATATATGGTTCGACGCGTCTTCATCTTCTCTTTTCAATGGTGAAAACCGCAGTTCTCTATCTTGTTGCTATTAAACATTATTTAAAAAATACTCACGAGCATTCATGTTCATGCTACCAGTACATATGCGAAAGAAATAGATCTTATCGAAATTTTATTATTATTATATTAGCTGAATAGTGATCAAATAGCATAGAAAAATAGAGCGAAAGACGCTCTATCTATTCATAAAAAAAGAAAATTTTTTCAAGCTTTCTATAAGAAAAAAGTGCCTCCCTCACTACTTTTGGATAGCCCTAAGTATTTCCTGGCAGAAATACACATCTTTCTTTGTAAACTCTTAAGTGATCCTCTAAAACATAAAAGTGACCTAGCCTGGCGAATAAAGGCCATGGGCACGAATGGTTTGCACCACTGTACTCAGTACATTAAACTCTCTCTAACAGTGTGTATGCCATTCAAAACCTAGGATCAAAGTTTGTGACGTTCCCCTGTAAGTAATCATCGGTACTGATCAGCTCTTATATCAGTTTCAATCAAGAACTTATTAAAGCGTATGCGAACCGGTATTCGTTCTGGTCGCAGTCAATATCTATTCAGCCTAGTAGCGGATGGAACTGGTTCCAGTTCTCATCAAAAATAGTACATCCCAGTCTAAGCTATCATAGCTTATATTATAGTATAAGCCGGCTTTAGTAATAAATCGCTTATGTGATGAAAAACTTCGAAAATTTGTCATCCAATCAATGATTCTCAAATACTATGTCTCTTCAAAACAAAAAGACGTTTCAGCAGGAGCTCAGGAGGACCTGTAAAAAACTCAGGAGTTTTTGCATAAACATGACTTTCGACGGATTTTTATTGGGAGCTCCATCGAAGACCTTCGAGAGTCGTGCTAAAACTCGCTAAGGCTCACTGATTGTTGCCATCATAACTCTCGAAGAAATTCTGTAGGATCTTTTACTTTTGTACGACTCCTTCTAGATTTTCCGCTGGAAAGTCGACTAGGGTAATATATTCCAGCATGATTCTAATTCTTCTGATTGTGAATATAATTTCGATGTTTTGATGTCAAATCAGGGTGCTAGTGAATCACAAATGAACATCGCTTGTCTCTCTAGTTCTCGTTTTAGTATGACATCAGATGGAAAAGACGTGCTTATACCAATGTACCGATTCCACTATTACCATTATGTACCAGTTCCACTATTCTGCACTACAGAGGGCGTCCCAACAAGGAATGTCTCTGTAATCTTAGCTTGTCCGAAAAAATGGAAACATGGCCAGCAGAAAGTGGAATCCTATTTTATTCTTATTTCTAATTCAAAACTTTCATTCAATTTATTTTAATCGCTGAAAAACGGAAAGCTATACGAAATAAACAAATATTTCGGCCACGATAAGCTTTATTAAAGTCTCATTGAACGTTGGTATTAATGTGACTTACGTTGATACTGGCGCTCAATAAAAAAATTTCAGTGAACGCTTACCTTGACTACATATTTTTATACCCATTCCGTTAAACACTACATTATGATTGATCGCATGAAAGCAACCAATGAGAAACGACATTAACACTATTTTAATATAATCAAGTTGAGTATTAGACTCGTCTTTCTAAAAGCTGAGTGACCAAAAGAACTTTGGTTTTTTTGGAACTCGGTAGTTTTGTCGAAAGTATGTGTGCAGTGGAAGCAACCTTGAAATTTGAATTTGTCGAAAGAAACTTAGACGAAGTTGAAAAAAGTTTCTTCTGTTTAAAAGAATGTCACTCCTGAATCACTAAAAGTTAAAAAAATATGTATGAGCATTGAGAAACGCGAGTGCTTTTGAGTTTCAGTATGTGTTTACTTTTTCGCACTGTTATTCTTGAGTAGTGCCAAACAATTACCAGGACCAAGAATCTTCTTTTTCAAACAATAAGCTCAATTGCAGTTTACGGACAGTGCCGTGGCGAGAGAAAAAAGCAGAAGGGATGTACCTTTTTTGGGAAAAAACCATAGAAGTATGAGACACTCAACACCATCTACCGTCATAATTTCAATACAATAACTACATGATAATGATAACATTGACATGTATTTGAGCTTTTTCCTCAATGAAGAAAAGTGGGAAAAAATTTTGCTCTGAAGTATTTTGGGAGACAAAGTGGGAGAAAGTGTGTTTTCGTTAAATTAGATTGGTTACCCAGTTTGGGCAGCAACTTAGACAAAATTCGTGAGAGGAAGGAGATTATTAAAGAGAAATTTCTTTTCTAAAGGCAGCAGGGGCGTACACCTGCACGCTATCTGCAGGTATATAAAAATTTTGCTTACCAAAAACGAAAATTTTATTTTCATGTTGGGTATGCCCCCTCACTGTACACTAACGAGGGGACCGATTTAACTATGAAACCGTTTTTTCAATGAGTCCTAGTGGATTATAGTTTATTGACTATGCTGATTCCAAATATGACCATGGCAATTATCTATAGGTCTCCAGAGACTGGTTTCTGGAAAATCAGTTTTTCAGAAACTGTAAAAAATAACCAAAGCCCTTCTTAATAATGCATAATTATAGCCCGTATATTTCTGATTAAAATGAGACATCTCCCAGCTCTACAGGACCTTAGAAATATGCGGGCTATAATTATGCATTATTAAGAAAGGCTTTGGTTATTTTTCAGAGTTTCTGAAAAACTGCTTTTATCCATCTAATCTTGCTAGTGTATTTAACAGCCGTTTTCACAATCTCTGTATATTTACATAAATGAAATCACTTCTACTTAAATAAGCAAGCTAAGAAAAAAAAATTCTGTCAGTTTTAATTTAGTATTTCCATGACAGTTAAAAAATGACCACCACAACTGCTGATGATTCGAATACAATGGCCAATTTACCCAATGAACCATTAATAAATATTGAACGTTTTCGTTCACCAAATGAGAATGATCGACAATGGATGTATCGTAAATTATTCATCGAAACATATTGGAATGAATACAACGAAGAACGTCTTCTATGTTTATCTCAGTGTTACATGAACACAAAATGTTTGGGTTGTAAATATATGGATCCATTAAAAAGTCTACTAGAACAGTTAGAAAAAAAAGTAAATTTGCCATCGATGAATAGTGACGTATCTTCGAATGGAAGTCAGAAAATAACCGAATCACATTCAGGGAAAAGTAAAACACCAGTACCTGACGAAAAAACATCATTGTAAGTTGCAAATAATTAAGACTTTCTTCAAGCAAGTTTGATAAAAAAATAGTAATAAACACTTCTTTTGTATTACAAGCTTTTTAATAGTCGTACACCATCTGTAAATTGTTCGAGCATTAACTACCGATGAAAATGAAAAAAACATATCTTTCTCCTGTTGATATTAGAAAAGTCGATTTTATCTAACCTTATTTCTACCTTAAAGTCTCCATTTAATCTTTTAGTTCTGATCAGCCAAAAAATGATCATAAGCAGTCAGACTCATCCATAAAAACGTCTATTTCACTTCCCCCACCACCAGTCCAACAGACGATGACTAATTTGTCACCATCAACTGAGCATCAGACCTCAACCACAAAACCGTCAGTTTCAACAACAACGATAACATCATCCTTACATTTCGATACAAGTGAAACAAAAATGAAAAACATACAAAAGTTAACACAAGAATTGAAAAATGAACATAATCATTTCACAAATGGGAATACTATGAAGTATACAAATGAAAATGATACCATGATTGATTACATTTATAAAATTGGTAATAAACATCGCTTATTTATCGATTATCGTCCTGATATAACAGTTCAAACAGTATCAACGCATACATTTACAACTCTAATATCTCGTGGTAAATTATACATTGACGAAGTTTACATATGTTCTGGACAAGGTCCAAATAAAAAACAATGTAAACAAGTTTGTTTTCTGAGAGCACATGATTATCTTGTTAATCATGATTACGAGGTTAGATCATCAATGAATGATAAAGATAAAAAGGTACAATATGATTTAATTGTCAAAGATTTGAATGAATTTGACGAAAATGAAAGTTATATAAGTCGAACAATGATACCGCAGATGTGTTTTGTTGAAGCAAAAGATACATCAACGATCGCCGAGAATACATTCCGCCAACAAGTGACAACAGAACAACAGTACTGGCAACACGATAATTTCGACGAGAAGGAATCGGCATCAGTTCAATCTTTACGGTCTCCATCAACGACTATTTCGCATTCATCATTGAATTATACAGCATTAAAGAAAGATGAAAATGTTCCGTATCCATTTCCTCGACAGCAACGGCTACCATCACCATCATTACAACAACACACACAACAGGAAAAAGTAGGTGATCATCTCAGTGTTTGTAACTTCTCTCAGAAATATCATGAACGAACGAATTTGATGGCTTCTTGTTACATTCTTAGATTTTCACCGCAGATGTAGTTAATACATCATCAATTATTCTCGATGAACATCCTCCGTCGTTCAGTACATTGTCAATTTCTCAGCAACTTACAAAATTGACAAAATTGCAACCATTTTTGTTTAGTTTATTAAATTGTAATACTGATGTATCACAATCAATCGATTTAATCTCTACTCAAATTAACAAATATGATTTACAATTGGATTTTAAATGTTCTGAAACACCATCAGTAACACAAAGATTTCACGGTTATTTAATAGTGGAACAAATATACATTTCAGATGGTTATGGTCTCAATAAAAAGTTGGCAAAAAAAGATACGTATTTTAACGGTCTCAAACTGATCTCTCAATCAAAATCATTTTCACTGGAACTAAGAAATAAACAACAATGGACATTAATTTCGTTTCAAGATGATCAAGGTCTACTCAAATGTCCACCTCCATCTCTACGATCAATCATATATCATGACAGAGACCAGAATCGTGATCGACCAATAGGAGGACAAGAACGTGTTCACGAACAACATCGAGAGAAATTAGATGATATGTGTATTTCACCTCCAATCATTAACAATAATTACGACAATGCACCATCATTTTCAAGGTACAATTAAGTTAACCTTTTTATTGATTTCTTCTTTGATTCTATAGATAAAATTGCATTTGTTAAATATACGTATTTTAATTTTAGACGAATGAATGAAAAAACAACGACTGTTCGTGTTATTCCGCCAATAATGGATTTGTCAAAATATGTTACAACTTCCGATGATGAAATATTATCCAATATCCGTAAACTAATACCATCAAATTTTGTTATATTTGAACCAGTTGATTTTCAACCGGATGTTCCCGGTTCCTACATATCAATGTTATTTGTATCCATGTCTAAAAATCATCTAGAATTGAAACATGATGTTCAACATACTATTAAAGGTTTTTTGGTAACATTTTATATAGGTGATCATTTTCTCATGTCAATGTTAACAAGTAGTAATAAAAATTGTACAAAACAAGTTGGTGCCATGAAACTGTGTGAATTATTAAAAACAATCTTTCCGTGTATCAAAATGAAATCTATTGAACATATGATTGAAGACAGTGGAACGCCTATGATATTGGATAATGCGAGACGTATAACACGTGCACATTTATATGAACAACCAGATGAATCAAGAACGACGTCAAACATCAATAATCTAAAACAATTAAATGAAAATGATGATGGAGGAAGAAAAGATATTGCAACAAAATTAATGAAAAAAATGGGATGGACAGGAACTGGTGGACTTGGAAAACAAGGACAAGGTGAGATAAGAGAAGAGTAAAGTGTTAGAGTCCTATTCTTTGATATGTGAGGACATTTTTTTGGTACGTTTAATCAAGGAAGAAAAGATATCTTCTATTACAATCTTAGAAATAGTTTACAAGCTTGTAGAAGATCTAACAAGGAATGTATCGACTTGAAAATGAAGCAGTTCTTGTACAAAAAAAATGTGTGATTTATCGATGTTTGTTTAATAATTGACTTCAGAAAGAGAGAGTTAGTATACAGAAATGCGTCAATAACGAGATATATTGTCTGCACCAAACTAATTAGACTTCAATTATGTTTACATTTTTCTCGATTTGCAGGTATAACTGAACCGATTCAAATTGTCGATTTACATGGTCGTCAAGGTCTAGGTTCAAATCATTTATTTCCAAATAAGATATTTATTCGAAGTTTACGCCGTATTCTAGAAGAATATATTCAACAAAATGTTCACGGTCAAGAACTAGTATTTGAAAATCAGTTTAGCAATGAAGAACGTAAAATAATTCATAAAGAAGCGACGAAATTACATTTAAATTCTCGATCATATGGTCAAAATCAACAACGTTTCATTTGTGTGACACATAACCAAACAGCTGATGAACTAATGAATCATTTAATACAACATAATGGTAAAACACAACGTTATGAATTAAAATCAGATCAAAATTATCAGTTTAAATCGGACAATGATACAAGCACCATCATAACAAGTTCATTAAACGAAGGTATTCAAATACCACCCATGATAATATATAAAGATGCATGTGATGATGATGTATGGTGAAAATAAATGATATGTCAGATGAGCTTTTTTTATTCATTTTCTTCATCTTTCTTACGGTATTCTCTTCTTCTCTCCTTCATTTATACTTTGTGTGTCTTTTTAACTTAGCGAGATATTTTTTTAAGATTTATTTATTTTTTCAGAATATCTGATTGTATGAACAATTTGTTTATATCAAATTACTGTTGATCGCAATCAGACAAGTTTACTCCGTTTTTTTTTGTTAAAAGTACTTTTTTTAAATTGTATATGGGACCTTGTACATCTTTTGACATTCTGAAATCTGTTTTATTCTGAATCAACACGATCATATGTGGTATTACTTTTTTCTAATATTCAACCCATGCCATTCAATAAATTATTTCTAATAGAAATATCAAACATAGCTTGAGTAATTTGCTAAATTTGAATTTTATTTTTACTTCAAATTCATATTTTTCTTTTCTTATAAGATCTCTCTTGTCTGATGGCACTAAAGTTCCTCAGATTTCTCCTCTAATGTTTGTTTTTTGACCGTATTATGGTCAAACAAAAGTTTTGAACGAGTATTTTGCGCAGAAAATAAAATAGCACTGATCTATTGTTTTTGCTCATTTTTTTTATGTTGACCTGCAATAGCGATCTGATTTGTTTATATTTGAGAAAAAGCACTGCAAGTTTTCTTTCATGCAGTGTTATCGATTAGGGGTGGCATATAGTGAACTGCATCGTAGACATTTTTGACTCCAACTCCAACTCCAACTCCAACTGCAACTCCAAAAATAAAAATATTCGAAACTCCAATTCCAACTCCAACTCCAAAAAAAGAAATTTTCGAAACTCCAACTCCAACTTCATAAAAAGAAAAATCGGAACTCCAGCTAAAACTCCAGAAAACTCCGATTTTTTTTTCGATAGGTTAGTGACATCTTGCCGATTGTCGGATTTGGAATGACTTATCATAAGATGAATTAATGAACGAATGAAATTATCTATCTTTCATTCGTATATATATACAGAATTTACTTTCTTAATCGACTACCTTCTTAATTACAAGCTATAACATTCATACTTTATCACTGATAAAGTATGAATGTTATAGCTTGTAATTTATGAAGTTTAGATAGTAAATTTACGTTTGTTATTTAATTCATGAAATAAAATTGTTGATCTATAAAAGAAAACGTACTTGTCTTTTTTACTGATACAACTCCAGAATTAACTCCAAAAAATGCCTGATTTTCTTTCCAACTCCAACTCCACAAATTTTCGATTTTGGAACTCCATCTCCAACTCCAACTCCATGGAGCTGGAGTTGGAGTTGGAGTTTGGAGTCCAGTGCAGTTCACTAGTGGCATACCACCCCCTCGTTTGGATACAGTTACTCAAAAAGTTTTGACTTACTCAGAAACTTTTTAAGAAATTTAAGTTGAGAAACTGCCTTTTATGCACCTGAGTAATTCATTTGTTTACCGAGAAACTCGCTTTTGTGCGCCTGAGTAAGTGATTTTTAGGTACGTTAAATAATTTGTTTACGATGCATTTATAATTATTGAGAATATTAGAAATTAATAATGAATAAATATAACTGCTGTGAACAACGTCCTTATTCTACTTAAATTTTATCTTAACAGAATAAGTATATCAAACAAAATCAAAATGCTGACCTTCAATCTCACACTGAAAATCGTCATCAGGCATTATGACTATATTGAACAAAATCTTTTTGGACGTTATTTTTCCTTTTCGTATCGCTCGTGTTTTCTGTATTCCTCAATAATAATGGGGCATGTCTCTCTTTCGGTGTTAGGGGGAAAAACTAAAATATTTCTCTTTCAAACAAAATAGCTTATAACAATAAAATGTAATGAAGAAACATCAGTCTTCAATTAGCTTAAAACATGCAGTTACTCAGAAAAAAATTTTGGTCCAAAAATGCGTTACTCAATAAAAAAATTTAGTTACTCAGCAGACTCTCCACCCCCTACAAAAACTACTATCGAAAACACTGCTTTCATGGGCGAAAAGTTGTTTTAACCATTTTTTATTTAAATAGAAGCATCGCCAATCGGGTGTTTACCCATTATAGGCTTTGCAAAAGAATGAGAAGAATGATTATGAGAAAGCAAGAATCAAAAATAGTAAACAGCAGATAACATAATGTGCTGTGAAAGGACGGTAGGAAGAATGGCTGTGTGTGTGGAGGGAGAAGTTTTATGTAAAAGAAAAAATAGAAACATCAGACACGGTCAAATCGCTTTGTCTCCTCAATGTATTTTAAAATAACTCTGTAAATATCTTGCATCTGTTCAAATGAATGGTGGAGGTCTCTAAAACCACGGAGAATAAAACCAACACTCTCAAATTTGTTGACAGTTAATTCTACCATTTTCCTTCTCATCTTTATCCTTGCCTGCGCATAATTTCGACGATTTTAAAAAGAAATGGGCAACAGTTTCATCCGCGCCACATGAACATGATGGATCACTGACTAGTGTATGTGTGAACAGATCGAGTTTTAATTGTGAAAAACCAATTCGCATTCGACAAAAGTTAATCTCATTAGTTCTATCGACAATATGTGAAATTCGATAAATACTTGGCAAGTATTTATTTTGTTTCCAGTGAAGAAGACGTACTTTGAACTGATTACATCGACCAATCGTCCGTAGTTCAAGCGGAATTTCATTCCACAGTTTGTACGTTGTTCGTATGAATGATTTCTCGAAAACTTGTAAACCCCTTGTGAGTGTCGGTAGCTTACATTGAGTACGACTACGTAAATTGTGAGAATGAGTAGTAGTATCAGCAGATACCAACTCAATTAATCCGATAGGGGCTTTCCGATGCATAATCTTGTGGAATAAAGTCAGACGTTGATTGATGAATGTCTCCTCTATCGGTAGCCAACCGAGATCCTCCAGTACCCTCTTCATCGAGAAAAGTCTCATTACTGCAAGTGCTCCATGATATTGTAGAGATGCAAGTCGATTCAAATTTATTCTACTTGTGCCAGAATATAAAACACTACCATAGTTCGAAAAGTTACTGTGCGGAAGGTTACATACAGTGAAGATGCTTTTTTTTAATACTGTAAACACTTCGCATGCTATTTAAACCGTAAGAGAGAATTTTTAGTCCGCTTTTTTTTCTTCGTACTTTTTATCACTTTTTGTATTATATGTTGGTTTAAATTCGAAGCTGGATCAAAATTTTTTGAAAGAAAAGACTTTCGATCTTATCTAGCGGATCCACGAACTATTTTTAATTTACTACGATTTAAAAAAGCGAGGAAGTTTTTACTGTCAATTGGTAGAAAGTTGTTCAATGAAAACAATTGTTTGATCTACTGTAGAACGGTGAAAGTCTTTTCTTAAGATAAATTTTTTCGATAGCCACAAATAAAAGTTCAAACCAAAAAATTGAGATAGAAGAGCAAAGTAAAGGCTGATCAGTCTTAAGAGAGGATTCGTGAGTGGATCGAGCATGTCGTCATAAAACAATACGAAAATTTATAACGTATACTTTTTATAAGGGTCCTTGATTCTACACATGAAACTATGGGAATGAAAATTTTTTTAGAGTTTTAGACCTTATTTTGATTGAGTTACGGAAAAGCCCCATGAAGTCGTCCGACGATTTCTCAAAAAAGCGCTGTTTCTAGTATTTTGCAAATAACTCCATCAAATTCTGTTCATGCTATTCGAGCAATGTCTCATTCGAAAGAGCATATAAAACTGCATTGACCGAGCTACTTTTTCATTTTTCAGACATGAAACTGAATTTTAATAATTCACATGAAGCGAAAATTCATGATTTTGAAAAGTGAAATTCTTTGGGTAAAACGTAATTATCTGTCGACCGTTCGGTTGTCGCAGTCTAGACTCGATGACATCTTGAAGAGCTTTCAATTCTCTACAAAATGAGTCGTGAAACTTTGTCCGAAGACCTGGACTTCATGCCGAAAAATTCGCTACAATCAACTGTGACATCGCTACCGCTACGACAGTTTTTTCCAAAAAATCTATTTCTGATAAACGAAAACACACTTTTCATAGGAAATCGATAGTCCTGATTACAAAGCAAGCCAGATAGAACCCATTTAAACATATACACTTCGGTTTTGTCTTTGTATGTGAGGGTTCTTTGTCTCTTACTCTTATGCATGCGTCAACTTTGTGAAGTACAAAGCTTTTGGAGTTTCATTGTGTTATGGAATTTCGAATGACCTTTGAAGCTTTATGGACTCTCTCTGACTTGAATCAATTCGAAGCTAAAAGATCGCTGTTTCCAGACAGTCGTTCCATCCGGGAAGCTGTTTTACATCGAACGGATACACCTACCACGTCGAAGTTGGATTACGACAAGATTCATATATGCCAAACACATTATGATCTACTAACCGATTCGTTTAAGCCTAGCAGCGAATTTTATCAGAAATCTGATTCCATCGAGAATAGTCGATCAATATTATGCCTATATACTTGAGAATAATGCTGGCTTCCGGCCACTTGGACGTACAAGTCTATTGTCATTACGTGATGGGTGTATCCGTTCGATGTAAAACAGCTTCCCGGATGGAACGGGATTGAAGGGGAAGTTGATTGTAGCGAATTTTTCGGCATGAAGTCCAGGTCTTCGGACAAAGTTTCACGACTCATTTTGTAGAGAATTGAAAGCTCTTCAAGATGTCATCGAGTCTAGACTGCGACAACCGAACGGTCGACAGATAATTACGTTTTACCCAAAGAATTTCACTTTTCAAGATCATGAGTTTTATGCACTTGCATCAGTTTCTGTCTTTGAAAAGACAGAAAATATACACTTCTCTGATAATTGTTGTAAATGGCGATTGTATGCGCTCAACAATCATTGATTTTGAGACTGAAGACCGAAAACCCGAAAGTTTCAATTATGGCCTGTAATCATCATCAGCTATACTATACAATTAGCGAAAAATAATAATGAGAAACCGACTGAATATATACTATACATTACACCACCAAAACCGGATTTTTAAGGTTTTCTGGAAAACCTTACTTGGAAAAACCGGATTTTCCCAAAATAGCTAAACTATGAAAACACATTTTACCATCGTTTGATAGAACATTGAAAACTGCATACATCTATGTTATTCTGGTAATGTTACCTCATATCCTATTGGCGGTAAAGTCAAATGACGAGACCGAATGACGTATCTGGATGTCACATCCGGTCACAACATTCTTTCGATTGTCAACGCTATTCGATGTATACCAAATGAATAAGCTTTTCTTTCTCATCCTTTATTATACAAACTCGATTTTTGCACGAATGATGATTAGATAATTCATGTACGAACAGAATTTACTACCAGCACCATGAATTTTAAGATCTTTATTAATAATCAAACTAACTACTGGAAAGAATTGCGATTAATTGTTGATTTTAAGCTATTAAATGATTATTGTTATTCATCGTTTTATTTTGCAGTGAAGTATGTATATAAACATGATTTCAACGAGGAATACACTTCTATTGAGATCATCTTTTTATTTTAGAGTAAAACCGGGTTGTCAAGAGTCTTCTATATATAGTTCCTTAGAGTTTTAAGCCGAGGAGCCCAGTGAACAGCTGGTATCCGGGCAATGTCTAAAATGGACTCGTCGGAAAGGCTCCGACTTCAGCTGATACTAAGACCGTTGCTGGGTGATGTACGTGCCATTATACATAATAAAGAATGAAAAATCAGAAAAAAATATGTAAATCCTAAGATAGGTTTGCACCTAGTACCCAGAAAAAAATCGTCAGTTATAGAAAATATAATATAATACCGAGGTACCTTGCTGATATTTGTGGTTTTATAATTGTATTCTGACTTTGATTTCGATTTGTTGTTTATATTTCTTCCTTGGGTGTGGATCGAAGTATATCAGTTCGCTTTTGATAGCTTGTATTGTCAATTTCCATACGTTGCACCATTTGTGAAATTCGTCGGCCGATAACTGTATACGATTATTAGTATAGTATTACTATACTAATAATTGTACCTTAAAGGGTACCTTAAAGGTACCCTTAATTAAGGTAGGACTAATTGTACAGCAAACATGCGTGTTGGTTAAAACTGGTTGTTGTGTTTCGTTGTACTTAAACAATTGATGGTGAGGAGCACTTGTCAGACGGTCGATATAACAGATGGAACATCAGGCGAAATATAATTCGTGATGAATCAACAAGACATAATTATCGTGGTTTTAGCGAAAATTACGACAACACAAAACAAAAAACATAAAAAGCGCAACACAATTAACTTTCTATGGTTCCAAACTGTCATATTTGAACCATAGGAAACAGAAGCATGAACAACTAAAACCGTGAAAAAAAACCATACCAAACTGATTGCGAGAAACCGCGTATAAAAACCGTCATGAGTTTCACGATTTTTTTTTCTTCGGGTAGATTGCAGTTTTTTCTTTAAACGTTTAATACGATTTATTGTGAGCTGTATGATCGGATGCCATGCTGGTAAAACTTTCTGACGAATATCCAGAGTTTTTTCATAATATTCATACGCAAGTAAATAATTTGAGTTAGAATTCGATCGATCAGATTCTAAATCTCCTTTGCTGTCGTAGGCTGAGGCTATGCAAATTAAACTGCGAGAAATCGAATCGTGGTTGGCTGGTAACAGTCTCCGTTTCATATTGAGGGATTTAAAATGAAACTCTAAAGCACAGTCATATTCCCTTTTTGCATTAAAAAGACCGCCAATGCATAGAAAGTTATCCGCTTTGTGCAAGTGGTCACCTGGAAAACATTTCTCTCGTATGCCTAAAGACTTCATCTGATACTCAAACGAACGTTCATAATCGCCCAATTGGCAGTAGACTAGTCCGATTCCCATTAGGATCCCGCCGATATCAGGATGGGAGAGTGCCAGGGTTTCTTTTCCAATATCCAAGGCTTTTAAATAATGTTCTAATGCCTGTTGGTAATGCTCATTCGGTTCGGAACAGCCAGGTTTTGCATACGCTCCTTTCAGATAATAAATATCGCCGAGATTTCTGTATAGCAGTGCAACGGGTGCATCGTTTGGATCCTTTAATAAACGGTTAAAATAATTTTGTGCTTTTTCGTATTCGCCCATTTGTGTCAGGAGGCATCCAAATAACACAGACACATTAGCTTCTTCCATATCTTTCCGATTCAAATTCACGTAGTCTTGAGCTATAGTTGCTTCTTCATCAGTTCCTTGCAATTTCACTATCCAAATATCGGTGTTCTGACTGACGGATATAATTTTAAACGTTGCACCAATGTCGAATAAAATCTCATTCTCATCAGGAATAGCACTGAATTCAGCAATATCAGCAAATACAACTGAATCTTTCAAACGACTTAGATCGCATTCTATCTCGAAGAGTAAACTTTGTTTTTCTCGATTCACAGGGGAAATACCGGCAAACATTAAGGCTACTTGTCGTGAACGACTTGTAGACATGAATCCATTTACTGAAATAAGTGTACCAACCGCATCTTTTATCTTTTGCGATTCACTTATGGATATTCGTGTACCGCGGTAAACACGCACGATTATATCAGTTTTTTTGAATGTTTTTTGAAATTCATGCGCAAGATTTTCTGATAGATCAGAGATAAAAAACCGAAAAATGTACATCTGTTCAACGTCTTCTGTCCGCAAAGCCTTGTTTATCAGTTTATAAACAAAAGACTGTTTTGTATACCATCGAATAGCATCATTGGAACGGTAGGTCCTCTCAAATTCTTCGATTAGTTTTTGCTGTTTCGTATTGTTGGAATAATATTCTCGACACTTCTGTATCATCTCCTGTTTTGAGGCATCATCGCCTGACATATACATCAAAACATCTTTGAACAACTGAAACCAAATAAAACCAGCCGATTCTGCTGTCAGATCGCGCATTGCCTTTTGACAATGACTGTAGAAGCGAAACGATTCCATTTGCTTTTGTAAAAGGATGGCGTGGTCTTTAATAGAACGGACTAATACCTTTTTCCGAGCAAAGATCCCAACAGCTTTCGAATAGATCGTCGGTAAGTGATTATACTGATTACTCATATCACACATAAAAAAGCAATCAATTTGTCTTAAATGATGAACCACTGGCAAAATATCAGTCGCCCAGAAACCGGATACGAGTAAAAAGATTTTCTCTTCCTGAATTGCTTCAATGCAATCGATACAGGATTGTCTACTCTCGGGAAATAGAATATTACCATTAATCTGTTTCAACATTTTCTTTACTTTCGTTTCGCAGTCAATGATTGCATGAAAGCAAATTAGAACGAAGCGATCCACATTGTTCTTCCTCGACATACTAAGGTTCATATCTGAAGCAAAAAAATATCGTAAACCCCCCTCCCCCCATAATAGGAGACCACCTGGTCTTCTATTTTTGTCTCTCAAGTCAAGTTCTAAAGGGTGATCTTCTATTGCGGTCAGATTTTGTCGCCCGCTAGTAGTCCAACGGTAACCTCACGTACTTGAAGTCCGTCCCCTATTAGAAGTACTTTTTGGCGAAATTTTTTTGAAAAATCCCCTATAGGTAGGTATAGGGCATTTTCCGATTTTTTTCGCGGACATAATAGAAGACCACTGGTCGTCTAGGAGTTAGAAGACCATGGTCTTCTATTTGGCTTTCAAGTCATATAATCGGCAGTGGTCTTCTAATAGGGGATGGTTTTCTATTAGGGGCTGGGCTTCTATCATGGGGGGGGGGGTTTACTTTACAAATGCCGCACAATGGATGAGTTCGAACGAGTGGCACCTTTCGCAACAAATACTTTTGAAACTTGACAAAACTACTTACGAGTGAACCCCTTGAGGTGTTAAACTCCGATTCCAATGAGTTATATCTCGAACGAGAGAGCTTAGTGAGGTAGTAAAAATCCTAAAAGGATTTGGGCTGTTATCGCTTCTGTCAAAAGTTAGAGGCGTTTTACTGGTTTTTTCAAGGGAATCAAGAGAAAACTAAAAACCTAACAACTTTCTTAACACAACAAGTAGAAAGCTGAAATTCTTTTCTATGGGTCGTCTGAATACCCTTAATACTCACACTATTAAAGTTTCAGGTTTCCACCTCGTTCCATTCTCGCTGTATAAAATTTCTAATTTTTCCACAGATCCGCAATTGAGAAGGCTTACAAAGAAAAGACTATAAAATCGTTAATTCTTCGTCGAAACCCCTGAAGCTTTCAAAAGTGACAGTTTTTGAACACCTAATTTTGTTACCGATAGAAAAATTTGGTTGCAGTAAAATCTTATACAAAGAGATTTCTAGAAAGCTCCTGGAAAACCAAGGTTTCAGTAGGGTGAATATTATTCAGTTTTCATCATTCCAGGATGTGTAGTAATCGAAAAAAAGTCACTTCTGAAATTTTCAATAGTTTTGATGAAGAATTAACGACTTTATATACAATCGAAAAGACTGGAAAACTATTTTATGTCCAAAGCCCATCTATAAATCCTTTAGAGGAAAAGTATAAAGTTTATAAAGTGAATTTGCCGATGTATTATCAACAGAAGATAACGTAACCTATATGAAAACTACCTGCTTTTTCCTCGCAACGATTCAAGCCGGGAGACCGCGATATTCGGATCGGGTATGACGAGAAACGGTGTTCACCTAAGTTTCGTCCTGAAGGCAGACAAAAAGCTCCCGTCGAAATTTTTGCCTTAGGCCCCCTCCGGTGTTTCGCCTAAAATTTAGGATGAAAACGGTTTTTTTTCAAAACGCGCCGAATTATATATCATTCGATGCAGTTTTTTTCGTAGATTCCGAATATCACATTGGTTTTGCATAAAAATACTTCTGAACGTTTAAAACTTAAGTTTTTCACTTTTTCCGTTCTGCATATATAAGTTCCTGTTCATTGTGAAAAAGAGAAAATATGTTTTTTTCTTCTCTTTCCTCTCCACGGTTGGATGAACGTTTTTTGGTGAATAAAATCGAAATGATGAATAGAACTAATAAAGGCGCCAAAACATAGCGCACTCCCTTTTTTTCTTGAGTGCTAGGTAAAGACATACGTCTTTTCATGAGCAGAACACATTTCAAACGTTTTTTTGAAAGTAATATTTCGAGCAGATCTTTAGATATTAGTTTAGCTTTTTACGTGAACTGAAAGTATGCTCTTCATAATGGAAGTCAAGTCAGATTTTGATTTTCAGCGGTTCTGACGTGGTAATATTACTATTGTCACCTATGGTTAAAAGTTCACAATTCACTCAAAATACATCCTGATCTAAAAACTGTAGAATGTACGATGTTTAGGCTTGAAGCGCGGAACACGATGGACGTCGAAACACATATGTTAGGACATGAACGCGGATTACCAACCACGTTTCTGTGAAAGAGATACTCCTGCCTTCGTTTTCTACCCGTCAGGAGTGAGGCATGTCTCTCTGCACAGAAGATATGCTGCGTGCGGGCTGTTTTGTTATTTCACAACTCAAACAACGAGCTTCGTTTCTGTTGAGTAATGACAGCACAAAAGAAAAACAGAAAAGAGTGATGTCACCATGAAAATACTTAAATGACGGTGACAACAACATCGCGCTTATTCAGTCCTCTTTACAGCTGATACCAAAATGAATACAAACGTCGATTGCATATCGTAAAGAGGGATGCAACATGATTTATCAGACCGATTGCTCACTAGTAGTGAACACGATGAATGTTTGGAGCAAGTACAGAACGGTGAGTTGATCATATGTTCTTTAACTATTTGTAGCGCGGTACACACACATCTGATGATTGGAAAATGTTGAGGATAGTGGAGAAAGAGCGATGACATCAGAAAAGATAAAGATACGCTGCACGCTAAAGTTCTATTGTCATTTTCCTCTAATATAATGGCCTAGACCGCATCTGTGTAGAATTCTTATTTCTCTTCCTTAAATGAATAAACTTTAAACTAAACTAAACGAAAAATATAGAATAAAGAAGAAGAAATGAATTTCGTTCTTATTGTATGTAATGTTTCTTTCAGTATGCGCACTAGGTATCAGAGCCCTAATCGGGTGAATTTTTGATGGCCCGCTCGGAACAAGCCGGGCCAAGAAAAGTCGAGGCCTGCTCGACCCATCATGCGCATCAGTTGGCCCGACCCGGCCCGGGTGATAGTCTTTCCTGGACCGCCCGACTCGACCCCGACTCTGAATTCTTTTTAGACTCAATTCAATTTTGTTATGGCAAAAACATAGTAAAAGCTTTACTAAAGATTAGTTCAGCAAGAAAACAGAAATAACTTTTTGGCTAGGGAATTTCAAAAACATATGAACAATAGCGAGAGAAAGAACAGAAGGAAACACAAAACAAGATAAGGAAAACAGATGTGGATCTTTTTCAAGTGATTTTTGAATTGATCGTCCAAATAATATATCTTCTA